GAGGCGGAGGGAATGTCAGTTTGCAAGTAAATCTCTGTACACTATTAGAAATCTTAGTTTGTGCAGAATAGTGTTGAGTATGCTTTGGTTAAACGTGGGGGTTGTGCCACTTTTGTGGTTTACTGCCCAAACGGGCCAAAAATGTAGATTTAGCAGGGAATGCTACATATGACACTGCTACAGACAATGCTGAAAACCTAGTCTATTGTTTAATATTTTAATTAATGAAAAGAGCTATAAGGAAGCTTCACTGAACAAGGTCTTAATGAGCAGCGGCAGCCAGTATTTATGGACCTACTTTTCTTAAAATATTAGAAGCATAAGTAACACATGGATAATAAATTAAATCATAGCTACTACCTACCATAGGTACCTAAAACTTAAAAAAAGGGAAGGAGTACAACAGATCTAAATGACAGTTGCCCGATTTTGTAGAATGAAGTTAAATATATGCAGGGAAAGAAGATGTAGGTTTTAATTCTGTAAGATGGAGCAGTGTATAAATTTGATAAATACAAATAAATAATTGTGAAAGAACAACACTGAATAGGTGTTGTTATGGAAGCTTATGATTGCTGATAATTGTGTATAATGCTGTTGTAAAAGTAAGTCGAATTTGTTGTGAATGGGATATATAAGTTGTGTGGTAGACCAGGGTGATATTGGCTCAAGAATGAATGTGTGGGGAATAAAAATGCAGTAGTCTGAGTTGGGACAAGATATGAGTAGTTGTAGCCATGTCCTCTTAGCTAGATCTAGGTAATGCCATAATTGTGAATCAGTGGTGGGATTCAATTTTTTTTACTATCGATTCTGTGGGCGTGGCTTGGTGGGCGGGGTGTGGCTTGGTGGGCGTGGCTTAGCGGGCGTGGCAGGGCAAGGATAAAGTAAAAATCTCCATTCCCTCCCCACTCCTGGGGGAAGGTGACTGTAAAACCCCATTCTTTCCCCACCCCACTAACCTGCTTTCTAGCTCCCTCCTGTGCTGGGCCACAAAAGAAGACCCAACCGATCAGTTGGGACTCGGGAGGCAGAGAATAGATGGGACCCGGGCCAGTCAGAGGTGGTATTTGCCAGTTCTCCAAACTCCTCAAAATTTCTGCTACTGGTTCTCCAGAACTGGTCAGAACCTGCTGAATACCACCTCTGTTGTGTACTAGCCAAAGCTGGTCAAAGGCCCTTTTCTTTATGATTTCCACCTATGACCAAACAGGAACTATGTCCAAGAGCACTTGCTGCCTAGAAACTCAGGCAATTGCGTTTGGTGTAGAACAATAGAAGACATTAAATATGAGTTAGACAATAGAAACCATTGATCTTAGATAATATTCCACAAGTGGAAACTTTATGGGTTACAGTATATATTACCCCCTTTCCCAGCCAAGTTTGTATATTTCTTAATACTTGCAAATGTATTCAAGAACTTCCATAATATGCTCACTGTTGTTTAGTTTATAGGCTAGTTTTTGCATGTAAAAAATGACTTTGGCTAAAAAGCAAACATAGTTTTCTGAACTTCAAAAGGAGGCATGGGTGCCATGTTAAATATATCTTTATTAAAAAGCTAGTAATGAAGCTTGAAATTCCAAATAACAGTCCCACAAATTGTACATCTGTTCTGTCAGGATTAGTCACCTCTGGAGCCAACAAGGCAAACAGAACAACTTGTTTTAGGATTTAAGTCTATTCTCTTTTAATGATACACTCACTGCTTCCAAACCCTGGGAAAACTCAACAATCTCACTTGAGTACAGAGAGTCCTCAGATGAGTACAGATAGTCCTCATTTAGTAACCACGATACCAGCAACTTAGTTGTTAAGTGAAGTGGTTACTAAGCAAAAACATGATTTTGCTTATGATCATACTTCAGCTTTCCTTTGCATTACAGATCTTTGAATGCTGAAAACATGAAATACTTCATCATCATTGTAACTATGAACATGAGACAGTTGCTAAATAAGGACTACTTGTATGAGTATGGTAGAAGCATGGTACAATGAGGTAAAACTTGCAGTTCAAAAATCTAAACTGACTATTTGTGCTATAGGACCTCAAATCAGTACTGCTGAAAGCTCATTGAAAATGTACCAACCTATTTTGTTTTGGTTGTTCGAAGACTTTCTGAACAAATGACCGTTTTGATGAGGATTTTGAGGCAGGCAGGAATAGAAGCAATTGTCAGCAAGTCACAGATATAGAGCTTTTATTCAGAAAAACAGCAAGATCCTGAACCACTGTATTAGTTGTATCCATGGCAGACCATTCGGTAAGCAATGGATAAGATATTGCTAAGCTGACCTCTAAATAAGATAAGAGTTGTTAGCCTCCTTGATGTCTAGAGGAACAAAATCAAATATTGTGCTAAATTTAGTGGGAAAGATATTTGTTATTGCTTAAGCTTTCATGGGTAACAATTCAAGTATTTGTAATGAGATCTTTTATACAGAATTCATTAACTTTTTTCCCAACAATATTCCTCAGGTGCTGTAATTTTCAGGGTCAAGTAGATGTACTGGAAGCAGGAGAATGATATTGGGGTGAGGGGATTGCCATTTAAAAAAACAACTCATGTCGCTTAGTCCATTGGGAGACTTCAACAGATTAGAGATGGAGATAGATAGAAAAAATCTATAAGGTCACTAGGAGTCAAAAACAATTTGATGACAGAAATAAATAAAAACATACAATACTCCCTTTTATAAAGTTGTGTAATTCCTTTATTTTAGATTTACACTGATCTCCTCAGTGTTAAAAATAGGTATCTTTTCCAGTTCTGTGTAGTTTAAGAATCAGGACTGGTAACTTTTGTATGAAAATCTGTATATTGTAAGCAAATGCTCCCAGTTCAAATTCCATGTTACACTTCTTTGGAAGCAGTTCAGTTAGCTCTTCAATTTAATATGCTTAATCTGGCTCTCAAAAAAGTTATCCTTTCCAAAAATTGGATTATATGCTTAAGGTAGTCTAAGGGAAGTGTTTCATGGGACTTTAGGCTTGTGCCATTTTCCCTCAATTCCTCAGGAGAGTCCTGGAACATAGAATCCCAAGGCTGGAAGAGACCTGAGAGGTCTTCAAGTCAAACCCCCTGCTTAAGGAAGGAGATATTATACTATCCTAGTCAAATGGTTGTCCAATCTATTAACAAAAGTCCACCACCACCCCGTATTTCCTCCACTATGTTCTTGATGTTTAACCTTTGTCATTAATCTTAATGCTTTTATATTTATGTTTTTATGCCTTTGTAAGCTGCCCAGAATCTCTCTGGATAGTGAGATATAGTGAAGCCTCCTCCTCTTCCTCTAACCTATAGTACTTCTTGCCACCTTGCTGGGAGGGGGGGGGGAACGATGACGACAAAAAATACACCACTGCATACCCATTTCCCATTCCAGTATGTCCCCAAGGGCCCCTGCCTCCAGGGAGGAAGAGAGCTCATGTGTTATTGCCACCCTCTGGTCAGCCATCCAAGTCGCTCCTTTGTCTTTCTTCATTCCATATGATTCCATATATTCCTCATTCCATATATAGGCTTGTACTCTTTCCCTTCCCCTCATAATTCTCCAGAGCAGCATCAGTGAAGCCACCTCATCCTCTTCTGCTTAGTCTTCCAGGGAACTGCTTGCCACTTTACTGGGGGGAGGGGGAACAAATGGAGGAAAAGCTGCACACCCACTTCCCATTGCAATGTGTCCACAAGGAAGAGGGCTCACCTGTCAACCACCAGCCTCCCACCTGCCCCAGCTATCTCTACTTTGCCAGCAGGCATCCAAGTCATTTAGTCATTCTTCTCTCACTTAACTGCCATCGCTGTTAAGAAATTTCAATTTTGCATCTTGGTTGCAAGGCAATTAATGGCCACTCATCTGTTGGGCCTTGCTGCCATCCAGCTGTGCACAGGGAACTGACAGAAGGAAGCAGAAATGAGGATGGACAGATTTTGGATACATTCTGTAAATTATGGGGTATGTTGCTGCAAAAATTGTTTCTCTAATGCACCATTTCACCCATTTGAAGGTTACAAAGTATCAAACAGACATAACAGTTTTAGTAGCACCTTGAATTCCATTCAGATAGTGCCTCCCAAGCCTAGCCCCTTAAAGCCTGATCAGAAGGATACCAAGGTTACCACAGTCAATGATATTGAAAACCTGAGAGATCCAGGGGGATAGGTAAGATGGTTGTACCATCTCCACCCCAAGCCTTCCAGAAGTTACTGGCAAGCACAGTCAATGTCATCTCAGTACTGGATCTGGCTTGAATCAGACTGAAAAGGATCCAGATAATCTGCTTCATCCAGAACTCTCTGCAGCTGAGCACCAATGTCATCTCCACTTTCCAAAAAAAGGAAGAATGAAGACGGGATGAAAATTGTCTGAAACAGTTCACCCAATGGCATCTTAAGAAGGGATCACATCACCTCGTCCTTCAGAGTGAGTGGAATCATTTCCTCCTGCAAATAGGCAGTAACCACTTCTTGAACCCATCCAAACCCCCTCCCAGGAAGCCTCAATTCTTAAGTGGGGGTCCAGAAAACAGTTGACCAAACTACAGCCACAAGGATCTTGTCCACTTCCATGCAACCAGCTAATTCAAAGTCCTCACAGATAACAGGACTTAAACATGTCTCGGTCATTTCCAAAGAATTTGCCCAGCTGGAATCCAACTCTGAGAAAAGTTGAGCTACTTTGTCTAGTAGATGCTGAAAATATTCCTCACAGCTTCCTGTAAGTATCTCAGGAGGGATCTTGGTCTCCTATCTGCAGGTACAATAAGGATGGAGAAATAAGTACACTTTACCCCTCTACTGCCACAAGGTAAGTCCTAATGAAGGCTCTTATCTTTGCTAAGTTGACTTCACTCTGTCTTCCTGGAAGACATCATGGAAAGAAGCTTACAATAAAAAGGTGGAAAGAATATAAAGTAGGATTGATTGATTGATTTAGGGTAGCTACTTTGTTACAGTTACAGGCATGGAAACAAGATATGTCAATACCAGCAGTCAAATAGAAAAATGCTATTAATGGAAGCAACAAAGCTTAAGCAAATAAAATGTCAAATTAGTCATCAGTGTTACTGCAGTTTGTCTCTCTCACCACCACAGTTGATGTCACAGATAAAACTATAACAATTATTGAAAGAATAAACCATATCAGTCACATAAAATGTTAATGAAATATTTATTATGTAACAGCACTTCAGTGCATTCTATCACCTATTAAAACACAGCTTCATCATGGCATTAAATGAAGAACCAATTCTCACATTGTTTTAAAATACATCTTATGAAGAGGGGCAGCAGTGGAAAAGTAATTAGTATTACACAATACAAGGAAAATACTTGTCCTTAAATTTTGAATTTCCATATTATTGCACTTTTCCTATATAATTGGTAAGTTTGTTATCTTGCCTTTAACACTATAATACATCAGTTTTTAAAAATTTAAAATAAAAATAGTACAAAATCTGCGGGCATTACAGTGGAACTATACAACTCTGTCATATTTCATCTGCTCCCGATCAAATGTAACAGTTGACCATCAATTTAACAGACCAAAATGAAAATGTTAAAGAAATGCAGTGCTATTTAAGCCCCTGAGGGAGTTTCATATGCAAATATGTTCTTATTCTCTCCCTGGAGAAAAATAAACCAATGATATTTTTAAAAGGATAACTTCTGACTAAGAGATAGTGGATATAGACAAAGCATTATAAACATCTCTAAAAATGAAAAGAGCTTAGCACAAAAACACATTAAATAAAGAAGCAGTGCTGATGTTCATCTCATTAAGTCTATGACTCTGGAAATAAAAAGAAGAAAATGATGATTCAAGTATCTCTCCTGACTTTCCAAATCCTGACAACAGGAGGGGAAGGAACAGAAAAAAACAAAAAGGAAGTGCTTATAAAAACTGTTAAATGGTAGAGCTTGTTTTTTTTAATTAAAAAAGCTAGAACAATGTGCATTGTACAATCAAGCCATAAGCAATATATGATTGAGGCGATAAAAGAAATGTCAGTTGCCACAATCCATTTAAATAGTAATGTGACTGGTAGGAGTAATGCACCAGCAAGCTAAGGCTAGGTGTCTTCAGCACAACAACAATGCAGTTTTACTCTGAATTCAAGCCTTGCTTTATAAAACTAAAATGTAGCTCATGTAACTCCTATGTAGTGTTTGTCCAGAACTTATATGGCCAGTTCCCAAAGAAGCAATGAAACAACTTCAGATAGTTTCACCTAGGACGCATCAATTACTAGCACCAATGTGAATAATTTGATCCTGCCAGCTGTAATTTTTGCAGATATATCTGTTTTGTAAACTAGCTGGATTTCATTTGATCTGCATACATAGCAACCTAATCTTCTGGAGCACCTGCTTTAGCCATTCAGTTGCTAGTAACTTGTAAACCTTGCGTAGTACAGTTCAATAAATAAAGCCTCATTCTGAGTATGGAATAATTGGGATAAAATTAACCAAGTTTTAATGGAAGCAGGGAGAGTAGTTATAGGCAATCATAATTGGAAGATTTTAGAGAGATCTGATGGGATACTTTTGTCAAATCTGACTCTTGGTTTGACAGCTGGTATCATCCATCCATCGCAATATTATGAATAATACCACATTCTGTTCCTATACCTTCACCTTTGAAAAGATTTAGTGTTTACAATATATGCTGCATTTCTCATGCTATAGTAGTAGTAGTAACACTAGGAAAACTCAACTTTCTAATAAGAAATGGAATGTATCGTTTAAATCCAAACCTAATGTATTTTACTAGTAGCATCTTTAGGAACAAAAACATTCATCTGTTTTTTGCAGATACGGCATCTGTTTGTGAGGACTGATAACAGTACAAATAAAAATATATTCCCAGCAGAAAAGTGCATGCATGTTTTATACCGAGAAGTGATACAGCCAATTTTATGTCAATGGGGGAAGACAGCCCCAAAAGAGCGTGGTTTGACAACTATTATTTTTTAAAGGCACAAGATAAACAGTGAAAAAGTAGCGGATTGGTAAAAGCTATACACAATGTGTTCAAAAACAGCTTCATTTTATATTACATAAACGATTTCTATATTTCCAAAAATACTGACCGAGATGCTCCTAATTCTAAACAAGGTCACTAGCCACCATAGCACAAACGAAAGATATAAAATAATACTGTCAAGTGACTGGAATGGTTGTCCAAAAATACATCTGTGGCAATATTAGAACTTCTTATGCGAGAAAAGGTGCTTTTGTTCACAGCTATGGCTGCCTATTTTGATAAATTTGCCAAATACTACAATTTTTAGACAGAAGTGCCAAAACAACTTTAGACTGCAACAGAACAATAAATGCAATTAAGTAAGAAGCAGTCATTTTAAAAGCATGATATCTGATTTTATTGCACACACACAAACTTTATTTTGCTACTGAAAGCACTGTGGGGCTACTTTTGTTTTTAGTGATTTACGTATGTAGGGAAGAGGCCCCATTTCTGCTTTGTACAAGGCAAGGTGCCTCCCAGAAAAAATGATGATTAGGTTTGCACAGCATACAGGTTATCCTATGTCAATGGGACCAGCATATGTCTCTTGGTATACAGATGAAGGAAAATGGTATATCTCATTCTCCAAACAGCTGAAGTAACAGTGGTAGTTGGTCCCATTCTAGATCTGTGCCAGTTACACTGCATTTCAGCCTACATTTTAAAATATTGTGCTATGAAACTAAATTGTGTATAAACAAATGAATCATTGTATTGGAGTATGTAAATTACATGGGAAATATTAAATGATAAAACCCAAAGAAGAAAATGGTCAGACATATCCATAGAAAAGTGACAGGTTTCTCTTAAATGGTTTTCAAAGGAATGACTTAAAAATACAAAGCTGACAAAATGTTTTAAAATAGCCAGTTGACATTAAGAGTTTAAAACAGTCATTGCCTTTCTTTAGATTCAAAGGGAAAAAAGAAAAGCAAAATCTGCCATGATTAAAAACATTTGGTTGTCCATTGGGTACAGACAATAGTTGTTACTTGTCTTTTTATTTCAATATATCAACAACTTTTGGGTGAAGTATTGTCTTAAAGTTTGTAAAGTAATGGTGATAATAAAATAAGGCCATTGTCACCTATTTGTCAATTTCCCCAAAAGCAATTTGGTTCATAAATGACAGTGAGCTTATACTTTGGGATATTCTTGCAGTGAGACTTTCCCATTATGAACTTTGATCCCATTGTGCAAACAATATCAGATATTATCAGGAGTCCAAATTAGTTCACAGCTCTCTGCACTGCAAAAATTAGAGGATTACCCTCCCTTTGGAAGGGACACTATCTTATTTCTTTCAATCATCCACATTCATATGTGTAACATTCAGAAAGGTTGATGTACATGCATCTAGTTATGCAGGAACTATAGCTTAAGATGCAGCTTGTTGACTGCCAGAGTTCCAAACTTAACAGTGCTTCTGCCTTGACCTGAATGGATAGGTAAAACCCCTTGCAGACTGGGGTCTAAGTCTCCTAATTTATTTTTAAGAAAGAAGGAAGCGCTGTCAAGCTACATTAGTAGTGTGTATTGAAAACAGAAGTCTCTGGCTATTATATAAAGGTGGAATTTCAATCATCTCACCTGAACCCTCAATTTTTGGCTGGCTTGTTCCAGACAGCCACTGAGTTGTCAGTGGCAAAGTGGGAACCCGGGTTCTCACATAACTGAACAAATTCACAATGCCTTCAAGTGGAATCATCAAGTCCTTTGTTTAACTGCTCAGAGTACAATTTGCAAAGTCTATCCATTATTCCCTGCAACATAGGTTGAACTATGCCCAAGAGAGGGCGCTGAGAAGAGTCCCCATCCCAACAGGCTTGCATCAACTGCCAACATTCCGCATCAAAAATGGGAAGACGTTCAGGGCGAACACCTAAAAGAGAATAAAGAATCTGGTAATTTAATGAAGGTTCAAAGTTCATCTTTTGATCTATATCAAGTTTCATTATAACGGTAAAAAATTACAGCCATTTTGTTCTGTTATTTCTGAAAATAAATTTCATCCAAAGTTTTATAACGAATAAAAGGCTTTGAGATAACACATTATTTAGGATCTGTGGAAATCTGGATGGGGAATAAAAGACTGAGGTTCAAAGCTAACAAAACTGAGTGGTTGTGGATTTGGGAGCTACTGTGTTCATGAGAGCTTCCACTATTAATCCTAGACTGGACTGGGTTGCACTTCCCCAGACAACTCGTGCAGAATGTCAAAGTCCTACTCTTGTAGTCCTGCTCTGAGAGCAAGTGGCAGCCATGGTTAGTAGGGCCTTTGCACAAATTCATCTTATGTACCAACTGTGCTGATTTCCAGATTGGGAGGCTTTACTCTCAGTCACTAATGTCTCAATCACCTCTCACCTGGCCTATGACAATGTGGTCTACATGGGTTTGCCGTTGAAGACCTCTAGGAAGCTTCAACTAGCCAAAAATACAGCAATACAAGTTGTTAAATATACTATAAACACATCAAGACACTAAATGACATATACACTATTATATGATATATTGAAAGTTGCCACCATATAAAAATGAGTGCTATGGAGCCTTCTATTCCATTCTTTGTTTGTTAAAATAAGCTTCCATTGAGATAACTTCAGCAAAAGTTGATGTAGGAAAAGAGATCCAATACATAAAATACTTACCCACTAATCATTTTCTGATTTGTACTTCATTCACATTCTGAAACACTTAAAAGGACAGAATCTAGCCAGCAGACCTCTACTTTAGGAAATTCTGTGTATTCACCATCATTTCACAATTTAATATAATCTATTTGTGTTGCAGCTATGCCTACCTCTTCTTACATTGTTCCAAAGATGATCCTTGTTTGCACATCTCTCAAAAGCCTCTGGTAATTTCACATGCCCTGAACAGATGTACCAGAATAGGATGCCAAATGCATACACATCCACAGAGTTATCATATTTCCCTGTGAAATATGAACAAGGAATATTGGTTGAAATCTACTTATATGTATTCATCCTCCATTAGATACTCTAGTACGGCAAGAGCAGCACTGACTTCACTTCACTAATCATGTGATTTCATGGATTTGTATACCAAGAATCTACATACCATATTCAAAGATATAAGGCTTATAATATTCTGGCTATAAAGTAGGAAACATTTCCCTTAAAAAACGTTCAGTTGAACCAGAAACCAGGAAATGTTACACTGAAATGCAAATTGGTTTATTTATAGTGCTGGAAGCAAAGACAATCCTAAAGAGAGATGGAGCTACAGACCATATTTATAGACTTTTTCAAATTAGAATTTATATGGGTTTGGATTTGGCAATCAGTTATTTCATTGAATATAACCAATTATGTGCTCAGTAAAGTCAGGAAGGCTATTAGGGTGTAACTATGAGGTATGGGAGAAGACTACAAAGATGGAGGTCGGCAATAGCCTGAAAGAACAAAGAGACATATTTTGTGAACATAGTTTATTTCTAAGGAGTTACTTTGCTTTCCTAGCATTCTGTATTCCTTAGCCTTCTAGATGGTGTCTGACTAAGCAGTGTAGTTTTCCTAAGAAGGTGTTTTTATAATGAGATAGTTGCCTAATTTGATGCCGGTTAACTGAGTGTTTTCCCTGGGAGAACTGCATTTGGGTTAAGAGCCCCCCCCCATCTCCTTATATCCAGAGTATTTACAAGCAGCTACTCAGAATATAATGATGAAAATTAGATCAACAATACTATTCGGGGATTATATTTTCATATTCTGATACACTGCTAACATTAAACTAAATTGTTTCATATTTGTACCAAGGATTACCCCAAGTTCTTTCAATTATTTCATTTGCTTGGTAGTTTTAGAGAACAAAGGAGAATCTCTCTAGTGGCCCCAAATTATGAAAATTTCTTGAAATTAATTTTTTTTTAAAATTTCGCAAGACTGAGATCAATGTAACACAGAGTTCAACATGTTTTACTAACTCCTTATCATAGACACATGAAATTTCCCAAAATAATCAGTACGCTTTCAGTTTTCTTGGAACACAGACTATTTTACTGAGATTTTACTTCAGAATTCTTCATCACTAACAATCAGTAAGATTTTCAAGGTAAGTTCACCTGTGAAGAGTTCAGGAGCCATATGTATAGGTGTCCCAACAATACTTCCAGACATCATTGCTTCAGGTTTACAAAATCCCAGGTCAGTGATTTTAGCTCTGTTGTTTTTATCAAGCTATAAGAATATAAAATGTAATATACAATGATTGTACAACATACAATACAATGATTATCAAAAACATCCTGCTATCAAATCTCTTTAGTAAGCAGTACCTTCTGCAAACAATCAAAAGTTTTCAAAAGTGTCTTTGCTGAACAGTTAATGAAGTTTCATACTTTGTCCAGTGGCATCACATACATGGTCCTAGAAATAATTAGCTAAGATATAATTAGCTAGGATATTTTTAAAAAGTAGCCATAATTGTTGTTCCTATTATAACTCTAGATCGGATCAGATCGGATACTGGAGCTTCTGCTTTTATTAATTACATAGATTCTTATATTTCATTAAGTTCTTCAAAAAAAATGTCAACACAAGGTGATAGTACAGTTGTAATCTTAACCATTGACTAGACAGAATTTTCTTATGAAACAAATATTATTTCAAATCCATTCAATTTTACTACTAGTACAACCAAAAAGATAAAGTGCTTTAGATAAAGTGCTTTTGGAGATCCATGAATACCATTTAAATCTACACTCGGCCATGGAAATTTATTCAGTGACATTAGCCTAGTCATTGTATACTCAATCTACCAGAGTGCTACTGTTGGGGGAAAAAATGAAGGAAGGAGCCCTGGGGATCTTCCATGGGACAAAAGGGAGAATATAAATAACAAAGTAATAAATAAAAGCAGCAGGTAAATTTGATATAATTGTTTTTATTTTGCATGAAAGGGATTATGGGCTGTTACTCTTCCTGAGGAAACTGGATATAATGATAGTTTATTCATTACTTAATTATATCACATATTGGTTATTGCAACATGCTGTACATAGTTTACTCTTAATGATTATATTACAAATTATAATTGCAGCTAGCCACTGCAAAATACAGATTATCACAAATCTGAAAAAGTTACCAGTTGCTTATTGGTCACAAAATGTATTGACCTTTAAAAAAAAGTAGGGTCTCTCTACAGAATGAATCTATCTATCTATCTATCTATCTATCTATCTATCTATCTATCTATCTATCTATCTAAAAATCTTGTATCTCCAGTTATGACCTTGTCTAGGAATTAAGATCTGTAGGAAAAGTCCACCATCATTCTCAGGAAGTTCTCTTATCTGGAAAGAGTAGAGGGCATTTCTGTTATGGAATGCATTTCCTTAGAAACTATATTTAGCTCTCAGTCTCTCAGCTTTTACAAAATCTGTAAAAGCTCATCTCTTCCACCAGATTTTAACAGTTAATCATTTTCATATCACATTCAATTAATAAATATTGTATGGTTTTAATCACTTGAAAACTAGAGGTTTTCTGTTTAGTATGTGGGTCAACAGTGTTAGGAAATTATGTCTCATTTAATTTTCTATATATAGAAAACTTATGTTTTTTGCTTCAGCAGAACAAGATGACTTTCCTCCATTTTACAGTCACAATCATTTCTATTTGTGTGTTTGTAAAAGCAGAGGTACCTTTTTAGATAATGACTTTAAAAAAACCCTTATGTTTAATTTCACTTGAGCAAAGAATATAAAATTACAGCCACAAAGTTATCCCTTACCAGTACATTTTTAAGTTTGATATCTCTATGAACGAGCCCCTGGCTATGAAGAAAACGAATCCCTTCAACTACATCCAGTGCAATCTGTAATCTTGTCTCCAGTGTCAAACCAGCCTAAATGAAAAGAAAACTCTCTTTTATCAATCTTTTAATGGGATTAGTAGTTCCAACTATTAAGAAGTGATTCTTGTATATGTCGAGAGGTTACCTTAGGAGAAATGGTTCCTCTCAGAAGATTATTTGAAAAGGTCATGGCATAGTTCTGCTTGTTCAATTCTATTTCATTCTGCTAGGCTGAATATGAGAATGCTAACTGGAATATACACACACACACATAAACACATACAGGGAAGCCTATATTTGCAATAAAAGGAGGAAGGAAAAGATTTCAAAGGCAGCCCAATGAGAACTCAGCATTCTCAACACCATCTGAAGCAACTGAATATTGGGTGTGGCAACTGAATAAGTTAGTTAATTGGTTTTTTTTGGGGGGGGGGAATCCCTGAAGCAACAGTGTGGGAAAAATTGTGGTCTCCTCCTTGCACTTAGTAGAAGATTCCAGAGATAAGAAAGAATGGCATTTTTTTTCTCTGTACCATTTCCCAATATAATAATAATATCTATTTATTTAGCAAAATGGGATGGGGAAATACAGGAACTAGCAAATAAAAATGCTGCTTTTTACTCCTCACATGAGACTGAAATAGCCTTATTAAATGGCCGTCTCCTTGTTGGCTGGGACATAAGCAGGAAACATGGAGATACTAATCTAATGTGATTTAATCTAATCTAAATTAAACCAAATCATACCATCAAATTCACACTTGAATGGAAAGTGGAAAGGGTTATGAAGAGCTACCACACAGGTCCACTAGTCATATAGGCTTTTCATTTTCTTTAAAACATTTTTCCTGTTTTAAAACAGTTTCTCCTTACCTTTAATCCAGTATAGAGGTCTCTGTGTAACTGTTCCATTATCAGTAAAACAGCAATGCTGGAACCTCCTCCATAACTGTAATCTATCACTGATCCATGAAGGTCTACCAACCGCTCATGCTTTGGCAGTGACCTAGATGGTGTGTCAAAAGTAAGACCCAAGTGTCATTCTGCCTATTCGATTTCTTAGGAAAAGACAATTACTATCAAAAGAAGCAAAGCAGTTTTCTAACCTAGAACATTTCAAGATTTTTCTTTAACCTATACTTCCAGAAATATGCACTTGGTTTAAAATATTGTTTTTAATTAGTGTTAAGATGATAAATATTCTAACTATGAAAACATGCAAACTACAACAAATCTGCTAAAAGATGTGATGCCTCTTTTTGCTAAATTCTATTGATTTCATATAAATAATCCTCGAGATGCGACCATAATGGGGCTTGTCCATTACAGTCACATGTCACAACAGACGTCAAATGAAATGAGCTTGCTTAATGACCCTCACTCCCTGCTCTTCTTGATGTGGCCATTAAATGAATTGGGTCATTAAATGGAGCATAGGGTGGGTTAGGGAGGTTTTTGTAGGCCTACTGCAGGCCCCAATCCACCTATCCCAGGCCTCCCAAAGTCTTCCCCATCCTCCTGAGACACCTTGTACTCCCCTTCCCAGATATTGTGTCCCCACAGGCCTTTTCTCACTCCCCCTGGGACCCCATAGGCCTTAAGCCTACTTCCTACCCTTCAAGGATAAACACTCTCCTCATCACTTACCTTTAGAAGACCTCTGAGGCCTTTCAGAGACTGGAATGGATTCCTTATTGTGCAGCCATGTGGCATGATTCTAGAAGCAGCGACATTTACAGCTACCAAAATGTAATTCGGCTACTGGAAATATGGTGGCCACCTCCTGAATCATGCAGCGGAGGAACAAAATGAACTTCGCTAATGTGTTCTGCTTTTTGGAAACCTCTGGGGCATTCTGATATCACTGTCACTTCCAAAATCTGGGACTGGAACAACTAGTGACCAACAATACTAGACTTAACAACTGCCTAAATCTCATCTTCTGCAATAGTTTGAATTCAATTTACAGAATACAAATTATAGAACCCTTTTCCAACAGTGACCAAAACATGATTGACTTTTGTCTCAACATACGTCCACACAAAAATCACCACAACAACGTAATTAATCCCCAATTATAACTTCAAAAAAGGCAACTACGATCTTATAGACAACGATCTCTCATCCCTTAATTGGCAATTTCTATTCACTGGATGCAATACTGTTGAAGACCATTACAGCGTATTTTTACTTGAAGTCAAGAGTCATCAAAATATATGTACCAATAACAACTCCCCAAACCAGAAAAAACAGATTACCCATAACAATAAGGAAGCTTCAATCCAAAAAGAAATCACTTTGGCGGAAAAACAAATCTGGTGATGTTGCCAACTTCAAAAGCCGATACAAAAATTTATGCCACCAGATAAAGCCTGAATGCACCAATTATCACATTAAACAAGAGGAAAACCTTCTATGCACCAATTCCACCCGCGCTTTCTACAATTTTGTAAATAACAAATTAAAAGACTCAAGGTCCATCCCACCCCTGAAAGGACCTAATGGTAAAGACTGCAACAATGACACCATTTAAAGCCAACTTCTTTAACACATTCTTTGGCTCAGTATTTGTAAACAGCAATGGATCATGCCCAGTATTTCCTAGTCAAACCACAGACAACTACAATAAATATCGATTTTACAGAAGACAATGTTGAAAAAGCACTACACAATCTAAAACCATCTCTATCTATTGGACCAGACAGAATATGTGCCTACTTCTTAAAAAAGCTATCCACTGCCATAGCTGAACCTCTAAGCATAATCTTTGAAAAATCTTTCAGGACCAGCTCCTTGCCAAACCTATGGTCACAAGCCACGGTCATCCCCATTTTCAAAAAGGAAGACCCCAGCCTAGTTGAAAATTACAGGCCAATCTCCTTATGCTGCGTCACCTGTAAAGTCATGGAATCAATTATTAACCAATCCATTATCCTCCACTTAGAAACAAACAACCTACTCTCTAATAAACAATTTGGTTTCAGAAAAAAACTATCCTGTAATCTGCAACTCTTACACTGCAAAAACACATGGACTACACAACTCAATCAGGGCAAAACAATAAATGCAATCTACATAGACTTCTAAAAGCTAGCCTTTGATTTAGTGGTACACTACAAACTACTATTAAAACTAAAATCTTATGGTATCTCTGGACACCTGCATAACTGGATAGAAGCATTCCTGTCAAACAGACAACAAATAGTCAAAATTGGAAACATCCTATCAAATTCTGTACCTGTCAACAGTGGTGTCCCCCAAGGCAGTGTTCTAGGACCAGCTCTCTTCATACTCTACATAAATGACCTCTGTGATCATATTAAGAGCAACTGCATTCTCTTCGCTGATGATGTAAAACTATTCAACACCACAGATAATTCTGCTACCCTTCAAAAAGACCTCGACTATGTATCAGAATGGTCAAACAAATGGCAACTTCAAATCTCAACAAATAAATGCTCTGTCTTACATATTGGCAAAAAAAATCAGAAAATAAAATACAAGCTGAATAGTCAAGACCTTGTTGATGATCCAAACTCTGTCAAGGACCTTGGAGTACACATCACAAATGATCTAAGTGCTGGAGCCCACTGCAACTACATAGCCAAAAAGGCTTTAAGAGTTGTTAACCTAATCCTACGTAGCTTTTTCTCTGATAATATCACACTACTAACTAGAGCATACAAAACATTTGCTGGACCAATGCTTGAATACAGATCATCAGAGTCTGGAACCCACATTACGTATCTGATATTAACACAGTTGAGAAAGTCCAGAAATATTTCACAAGAAGAGTTCTCCACTCCTCTACTCATTGCAGAACACCTCATGCCACCAGACGTGAAATTGTAGACCTAGAAAACGTAGAACTACGCTGCCTTCAGTCCGATCTAAGTGTAGTATATAAAATCATACATTGCAATGCCCTACCTGTCAATGAATACTTCAGCTTCAACCATAACAATACAAGAGCACACAATAGATACAAACTCATGGTTTACTGCACCAAACTTGATTTCAGGAAATACGACTTCAGCAACAGAGTGGTCAATGTCTGGAATACTCTACCTGACTCTGTGGTTTCTTCCCCAAACCCCAAAAACTTTAACCTTAGACTGTCTACTATTGACCTCACCCCTTTCCTAAGAGGTCTGTAGGGGGCATGCATTAGCGCACCAATGTGCCTACCGTCCCTGTCCTATTGTTTCTTTTATTTCTCTTAAATGTATCCATGTATTCATAACTATGTTTATACTTATACCTATTATCTTGTAAGCAATTGACAAATCAAATAACAAAAAAAAAATCACACTATGTGGCCAATGGATAAACTGCTCTATTTTGCTGCCTTAACACACACAATCTGTACAGTTGGGATGAGGAGGAGAGAGGAAGGGGGTTACTGCAGCATACCTGCAATCAATTGTAAGGGCGAATTAGCCCAGGACACTGCAGTGGCCATAACTTCAAAACTAGGTTGTATGTAGGGGGTCTGTCATAACTTCAAATAGCCATTAAGTCACCTTTTGTATCTGGAGGACTACCTGTAGTTTGGCAGGCTTCTCTTGCTATTTACTGTTCATTAACAACAAAATGTAATTGTACTCACCTCATATAGTGAAATTCTAGTGCAAGATCATTCCAATGCTTTTCATCTGGTGGAACGACAGATTTGAGTGCACATGGGAAGTGTCCCCCCCAGGCATTACATAGGTACACCACTCCATATTGCCCTCGGCCCAATTCACGGCCTAGTTTTGGTTTGCCTGAAACAAATAACAACTTTATCAGAGTAAAGTATTTTCTATGGTCCTTTCTGGTGTATTTTTCAAAATGTATTAACTCTATTAATTTTAATGTTATGACTATGCTATTAATTAACTGTGTAAGTTCAATAATACAATGAACGTTGTATAATGTATACAATTTATAATACTATACTGAATCAGATTTAGTCAAATATTATATTGATATAATGTAAAGATATCTGCTTCCTGGCACCTGCGTTATTATCTGGTTTGGTTTGGTTTGGATTTTAAATGTATTCTGTTATCTCATGTTTTATCAGGTAATGCTGTATTTTTAGATTTATTACATTTTCAGTAACTGCTCTGAAACTTAATAAAACTATATCAAGCTATATGTACAATATTTCAGCTCTTTTTCTACTTTGCTTTCACTATTATTTTCAGGTCTTAGGACAGTAAAGCATTAGTATTAAGTCTAGAGTTATCCTTTTACAAACTAAAGTGATCTTTTGGTTGCACAATGCAGCCTACTAAAGAAGAGGGAATTCTGATTTCTCCCAGTACTCTTGCAACTATGCAAGCCATGGGCTCAACTTAGATCACAATTTGGGATGTGGTTTATTTAAAATATATGATTACTAATTGCATGAATGCTATTATCATGAACAGTGGTGGTGCAGTGGTTAGAATGCACTGCACCACTGTGGCTCATGATAATAGCATTCATGAAGATTACTTCTGCTAACTGCCGGCTGCCAACAGTTCGGCAGTTCGATTCTCACTGGCACAAAGTTGACTCAGCCTTCCATCCCTCTGAGGTTGGTAAAATGAGGACCCAGACTGGTGGGGGCAATATGCTGACTCTGTAAACTGCTTAGAAAAGCGGTATATCAGTCTAAGTGCTATTGCTGTTATTGTCTAGAGTTAGAATTAAAACATAAGCCTTCTAAATTATGATGACCTCTAACTTTTCCAATCAGTCCAGTCACTATGTGTACATAATAGAAATAAAGCACCATCGACTTGTAAAATTGAAAATTGCAGAAAAAAATGAAGCCGAGTCATTAATAAATAAGAAAAGAGACATGGCAATGCTCACCATATAACAAAACATCTTGCAAGGACCTGCTTTCCAGTGACAGACGGGCAAGGCGAGGGGCATGGTCTTTCCGCACCTTCAACCAAAGATCCTCTGTTTTTTCAAGCCTACCCGAATGGCCAGCCTCTAGCTAATACAAAGTTAATCAAATATAAGTACATCTGTGCCATTTTTTGGATAATATCTAGATACTCACACAATATTCTACTTCCTTCCGTATTAAAAAAAATTAAATAGGATCAGTCATTAATCCTTTCATTCAATGCCATTGGAACTTCAGTCATTGAAAGAATGTTTGTAACTCAGGGACTATCTTTAATTATCCCTTGAGCATCTTCTGCTGTTTTCAGTTTGATTTCTAGCTTCTGCCCATGTCTAACAGTGGTAGCTAGTTCATCTACTCCTTTAATGTAGCTCTAGATCAGGGGCCGGTGGGCCAGATCCAGCCCACGGGTTGCTTAGATCTGGCCCACGAGGCCACCCTGGAAACAACAAAGGACTGACCTGTGGTTCCTCTGCCAGTGAAAATGGAGCTCGCAAGGCATGGCCCGCAAGGCATGGCCCACCCGAGCTCCATTTCACTGGCAGAGGATTGCAGGAGGCCATTCCAGTCAAAAACAGAGCTTGCAAGGGTCGTGCGCGCCCCCAAGCTCCGTTTTCACTGGCAGATGGTTACAGGAGGCCATCACAATGGAAAATGGAGCTCGGGAGACTGTTTTTGCTCTCAGAGCGCTCAGGTCACCACAGGTACCCCCTGAAACAAGTGATGTCATGCTGACCACGCCCACCCTGATGACCCTCAATCCATAATATCAAACGCACCAAATGTTTATTCCCTAGTAATTTTTAAGAGTTGGCAAATGATCACTACGGTATCATTACTTCCACTTCTGTTTTAATGGCTAGAATAGCTGTAACAGTGTAACAATGCAGTCCTACATTTAAATGGAATTAAATGGAATTAAATGGAATTTCCAGCTATCTCCAATTGTTAAAAGGATCATAGGAGATAAAATGGTATTCAAATGTTCTTTATGTTGCCAAAGAATAGAGAGATGAGCAGTAGATATCCTTCATATTATTTGAAAATTTGAGATTAAATTTGCTAATTTATGTTCTTTGCAGTTCCTTTTACATCAAACTGACCTGTCGCAAAGAAGCAGCAAAAGCTTCATGAGAGCTATTTAGCCTTGTTCGGAACTGGCTGCAGATGCTCTTTGCCAATCTGGATGCGCTAAGACTCTCAATGGCATCCTGAGCAATCTTCCTTTTCCACTCCCTGGTGATAGCGGGTGGGCTCACCCAAGAGATCCGTTGTATTATCTAAAGAAGAAAAAATACATGTATCTTATTGTTGGTGTTAGGGATATACACCCTAGCAGAACCTGCACGGCAGTCAGGCAGGCAGGCAAATATGTGAGACAAACGTTTTTGTAGCTTACACTCAGTAAAACAGATACACTGTGCTAGTTAAATAGTTTATTCCAGTAAGATTTATAGCATAGTCAAACAGTCCATATATCATACACTAGTTCAGTCCGTCCGGGGATTATTCAGTTGCAAAGTCCAGTGTCGAAAAAGAGGTCATTAAACTTACAAATATCAGTCCAGTAATATATCTCTTCGCAGTAGAGATATGAAGAAGCCAAACCTCCTTTCTTCCTTTAGCAACAGCAAGGAACACGCAGTTATCAAACCATCAATCCATCATCGTTAGCAAGCAATCCAGTAAGCCAGCAATCAATCAAGTTCTCTTGCTCCCTCTTATGGCGATTTACAGCCGCACCCAAAATTACACACTTTGCAGTTAAAGTGGCACACACTTAAATTCACTATCATAGTCTATATATATTATTTTACCCAAACTACGTTAGGTAACCTATGTTATTCCTAACAGTTGGAACTCAAGTATTAAAGTGCTGCTTTCATCTTAGCCAACATTAACTTTGGATCTGGCAAGCACAAATAAATTAGGATAATGGACGAGACTAAATAAATGCTGTTGTTGTTGTTATATGTTGTTATATTCAACACATATTTTGCCATATTTTATCTCTTCATTTTTAAAATCAGTTGTCTTTTATTCCAACATAAGATGCCCCTGAATCTTAATGCATAATAGAAGTACATTGTGCAGATGGTGATATGAATTAATAGAAGATAATGTACTTACAATAAATTTCATTATAATGAATCAGTGCTGTTAAAATATTTAATACCTGCTTGATCTGTTCCCACAGCATCCGTGATACTGTTGAACCAGAGTGAAAAGTAACTTCTACGTGGTAGGCTGCATTCAATATCTGCAAACAGAAAATAGATTGATTATATACCTGCAAATTGAAATAACTGTCCACTATATTTAAAGAACTGAGTACCTTGGAAAGAGCTTCATAAATAAATGGACTCTTTGTGCCAAAAAGCAAACTGCTTTGGTCTGTGTATGAATTCAGTCCATTCCCAATTTACCCAAGAGGAAGAAGAGCCTGAATTTAAGGCAACCCCTTTTCCCAGAGGACATACAGATCAAAACAATATACATACACAATCTTGTGCATTGCCCAACTTCCTCAATACATCAATTAGAATTGCCAACTCCAATTGAAATCAATTCTGCAGATTAACTGCTCACCCAACCATACTCTGCTGCAAACATAGCACGCATACAAATACGATGGCAAGAGGCCACACTTTAAAAAATCAATAAGACTGATTTTAATCAATATTAACTAATTGCTCATAAAATATGACATCCCGTATGTAAAATTAATTGGTTATAACCCCCACACGCATACATAATTATCTCATACACAAATGCTCTTTGATCATCTATACATATGTACTCTGGGTTAGATTCCATTAAGTCTAGTGGCTCATATCCCCAGGTAAGTATGCATAGACTGCTGTTATGCTAATAGAATGATTTGCATCACTAAGCTTATTTCACATATAATGGGGTGAAAATTAAGGAAAACTACTTACAATATGGACGTCCCCTCCCCTTCTTTTTTTACTAAGAGATAATAAATCGATACAGGCATTTGCGCTGGACTTCAAGCACAAGGAAACCTGTGCATATTTAATGTATATTAAGTTTTGTTTATTTTAATGGTTGCTACTCCTAAGTAAATACATGTTGGGCTTTATTCCTGCTCAATCACTGTCACTCCATTCCAGATGCTGAGGCCAAGTATCTATACTGGGAAATCTCTTTTATCTATGGAGGTTATCTGCAGAGTGAGGATCCTATTATCAAGAGGCCTTATTTTTTCACAAACAGGAGACTTTCTATGGCAAACAGGTGCCTCACATGAAAAACAATCAAGGCAGTTCCAAGGTAGCCTCTTTTTCCCTTGAAGGGACAACTCATCCCCTTATCATCCTTCTGCCATTTACTCATTTTCAACAGCTTAATGCTCTAATAGCATTTTCTCAGCAAACACAGGGTGACGTCTCCCAATTAATAGGTGGTTATTATGAGAAAAACTCTAATTTTCTTTGTGTGTGCACTTTCTTTGTTTACTAAACTTATGTTCCATTTCGACAGATGTACTTTTACTCTCTCAACAAACTTGTGAGGCAAATATTGGGATAGTGGTTGACCCACAGTCATACCCAAAGGGTTGTGGTTCAACCCAAGTTTCCCTAATCCGAATCAAATTGTTTTTGCATCACACTGCCTCTCGATCAGCTAATATCCTAGAACAGTTCTGTAAAATGATCTCATTACTTTGTTTTAAACATTACCTGTTTTAAATAATTGCTTGTAATATGTACTGAAATATCCTGCTGAGATTTTTCCAGACTCTTCAGACATCTTTCCAGAGTGCCTACAAAGCTCTCTCGCAAATAGTCCACAGAACTTATGAGTTTATTAGCTACTGCTTGGTTTAACCTTGAGATTATCAATTCCTGGATTTGCTTCATACAGCACTTAATGTCTTTAGAACTTATAGGCTCCCCATTCTCAGGAATAATTATATCTAGAAGAGAAATAGAGGGGAAAAAATCAATATTAAAAGAAGTATAAGCAGCTACTCAAAACAAATATAAAGTTACATTTTGTGCTTAAAGGTAAAGGTTCCCCTCGCACATATATGCTAGTCGTTTCTGACTCTAGGGGGTGGTGCTCATCTTTGTTACAAAGCTGAAGAGCCAGCGCTGTCCGAAGATGTCTCCAAGGTCATGTGGCTGGCATGACTAAACGTTGAAGGTGCACGGAACGCTGTTACCTTCCCACCAAAGTGGTCCCTATTTTTGTACTTGCATTTTTACATGCTTTCAAACTGCTAGGTTGGCAGAAGCTGGGACAAATAACAGGAGCTCACTATGTTACTCAGCGCTAGGGATTCGAACTGCAGAACTTTCTGATCGACAAGCTCAGCATCTCAGCCACTGAGCCACCACGTCCCTCATTTTGTGCTTTAGTACTATTAACTATAAATGCTAGCTAAATTGGATTTTAGTAACCTATTCTTCTATCTAACCCCACCAACAATCCCACAAATTAAGCATTTTGTCTCTTGAAGTTAGTAGGAGAGTTAAGCATTTATTTAACTCTCTTAATGAAGGTAGGACTAGTTTAGATACTGTAAAATCAAACTCGCCTAAAAATAAGCACTATCTTAAGCTTTCTTATGGAGTAGAAATTTTCAAATCTGCACTAAACACGAACTCCTTTTTCAGTTGTTTGTAACTTTTTGTTTGTTTCTATAGCCACACATAATTTCATAATGCCTATGAATTTAATCATAAGATTTATACATTTCCCTCAACTGCAGCTGTTTTTAAAACATCTTAATATCCACCTAACCAGGTAGATTTTAGACAGATATAAAAGTGTAACTAATAAATAATGTGATATTGTTCTCTACTCTGTTGTTATGCAACATTTACATAACATTTAATGTGATTGATGGTGAATACATAAAATACATAAAAATTAGTTACATCCAAAAAATGCACTGCTAAACTGTTCAGATTAATTGGATAGTTTCACTAGATTATTCCAATGCTACATAGTGAAACTTCAATTTAGCAACCCTGACTTCATGAACTTTAAATGCAACAAACAAGAAACAAGATTTCCATCAAGATATCTCTCAAAAACTATGTTCATTATATTCAAAATTAATGTGATAAATTTAAAACATACATGCACACACTTATTTGTGGTGGTATTCATCATTTGTATGATAATGTTATCCAGTATAGCATTGCAATGATATACCTTATGATTTAACACGCATTCAGGAAAAATGAACACCCCTTCCCTCAAATGGTTCATAATATTAGGCTTTAAAAGTTGTTTGTTACTTATAAAACTAATGTATTATTCAGTGAGGTTTACCACATCTAAACATATTTACTTTTTTTACAATATGCTAATGAATTAAAATTTTAGTATATTTACTGCTAATATATTTGAATAAAGCTGGCTGGTGGTATGTATGTATATATTCATAGTTGTTAAAAGGAAATTGCAGTTAATGAATTTTAAGATCAACTATTATTGATTCCATTTTTATCCATTAAATTTGCTTTTTCAATAAATAAAAAATATGTAATCATTGCAGAGCCCCTTCAAGTGATAAATCACTTCAGACTGGAGTCCCATCAAAAAGTGCTTTGTTCTGAATTAAGCAAAAGTTGTCCACCATCTTTTGGATCTTCTAAATTCTTGCGTATTTTGCTACTCAATGTTATTAAAACTTCCTATCGATCTTACCAATATAGAAAAGGAGTCTGACCACACTGAATTATTGTCATTATTTCATAACATCATCAAACATGTGCTGTGCCCTTAGATAATGCCCAATTAAATTGATCTTTTATTGCAATAACTTCAACTAAATGTTTTCTAGAAGTGAAAACAATCTCTCATATATTGGTATAGGAATTGACCCACTCCTCCTTTGTAAACTGCTTCAGCTTAGTAAACAATTGAGGCTTTTCTAGTATGAACTAGAAAACTTATCATGGGGCTGGGATATTTGAGGGATCGTGTCTCCTGAATCATATCTACTCATCCCATCAGTTTTGGTAAAGAAAGAAATATTACCAGGGGTGGGATCTGACAGGGTTAACTATCGGTTCGGTGATTTATGAGGTTTGGTGATTTATGATGTGCTTCCCTGCACTTGCGCACCTGTAAATCATCACCAGCATGCTGCCAGCAGAAAAGCAGCCTTTGAAAAAGCACTTTTTGCCAGCTTTTTTAAGTGCAGCTGTGCCTCGCACGGCAGCTGAAGTTGAAAAAACAGGAAATAAAGGTCAGGTAAGAGGTCTGGTGGGTGGGTGGGCAAAAACATCAGCAGACATAGAACCGGTTCTATGTCTGCTGCTCTTCAGAGCTACCGGTTCTACAGAGGTGGACAGAACCAGTGGAAAACCACCCCTGAATATTACAGGTCTCATCCGCAAAGGAATTTCATGTAACGGGCCAAAGAAGAGAGTCTCTGGACCATTTTCCCAAGAACAGATTGGTCCTGACCTTGCTGGCCTTCCAGAATGGCCTAAAAACGTAGCTTTGCCATCTGGCCTGGGCATCCTGTAATGTCGGTATGGAACCTGCAAAGTGCAAACTAAGTGGATTCCCTTGCAGATTCTGTTTTTAATAGTCTTTACTGGTTTTTGATTACATTTGTTATGGTTTGGGTTATGTTGTAGTATCATTTTTGTATTTTTGATTTTATGTGAGACGAACAGCTGTATAAATTTATCAGATAAGTAAATATTAAATAAACTAATCATTTCAGGTCCTACCACATTTCCTTGGGGTTTAGACTAAACTTTGATTTGGCCATGTCAAAACTAGATTTATTGTTCATCCATTATCTCATAAACCTGCTTGTATGTTTATTACTGTTTTTGTTACATAACTCACAACTTCAGCTGAGAGACAGCTGGCCTGATATTCTCTGGTTTAATTCTGAAACAAAGCAGAATTCATTCAACCTTCAAAGATGGAATGTCATCAAATCCTGAGGGCATTCCTTCTGCTGCCCACTCTAAAAGAGTCTGCTGTGTCATCTAGACACTTTTAGGCAAACTTGAGATAACTATTGATGTTCTTCTTAATGGCTACTATTATGCTGTTTTCCCCTGAATCCAAACTTTTACCCTATATTTTCTGATGAAAGAATTATGATTTTTGCCATGTCTAAAGCCTATAGATCCCAGAAAGCTGTTCTGAGATTCCTTGAGACTTGTAGCTTGAAATGATTTCACTGGAACAACCGTTCAATATTACCACAAATCTTTTCCATTTCATGACTGTTACTCTGATTATGGATCAGTAGAAAGCCTCAAGGCTTTGGAAAAATTTCAAAATCAGTTTCTTGGTTGAGGCACATCAATTCCTTTTTTTATAATGGTTTCAGGAAATATATTCTGAAAAGGGTATAACTTGCCTCTACTCTCTTGGAGAGAGCCAAAGTTTATGAGATTTATATAAGTCAAGAGTGGTCCTAATTATGTTTTAATTTAATTCATTGTTCTAGGAGGGTAATTACTTGCGCGCGCACACGTACATGAAAGAAGGACCCTTATGAAGTCTGTATAACATTCAGTAGAGAAATTTACAAAATTTCATAAAATACTTTTACAGAAAACTTAGTTAGAAAGCTGTATCTCTTTCAGTCAGACAGCCATCGCATTAGTCATTCCCCAATGTAAGCACACTTCAGGCATGTAGGTTTCAGATCCCAGAAATATCTATACTACCTAGAGAGTATCCAGCTGCAGAAAACTAAATAAATTACTCATAGTGATCCAATGTATATGAAATTTCCACCAATTGTGTTTCAATCCTGATGGCATATTCACGTGACTTGTAAGCATTTAAAAGCAAAACATATGAACATTTTTACATGGACCAACATGGGAATCTGTAAGTAGGAGGCTTTTCAGGAGCAGTATAAAATACAAAATAGAATTTTCTTTGCAGGTCATTACCATACTTATGGTATGAATTGCTTTACCTTTGAATTCCATATTAGCAGCATCTTCCAGCAGCTCTTCTTTCATGTTATTGAGAGTTTCAATTATCATATCTTTCATTTCTTCTTGTTTGCGGTTGGCTATATTCATCAGAGATTCATACAGCTCATTCTCTTTCTTCCGCGTATACTCTAAACGCTTTGGAGTGATTTGCAGGTCTCGTTGCATGTCAAAGGCTTGGTTGATAAAAATGTCTAAGCAACGGTAGTGTACAATGTTCAAAATGGTGGCAGCGTCTACCAAGCGCTGTTGTAGCACTTGTTTGGAGAAAGTGCTAAGCAGACGAATCTTATCAGACTGTTCTACCAGCATGCTTTGGGCTTTGGCATCAGTGCTAGGAGCTCCACAACTGCAATGGCTGCTACTAAGATAATCTAAATCTAGCAGTTGCCGAAAAAGGGATGACTTTTCAGTTTCCGCATTCTGAGGAGATATTAGTTCAGATCCTAAATTTAATACTTTGAAAAAGAAGATGGGTAAAGCGAACTTCTCTTTAATCTCTTGCAACTCGTTCATGTCCAGGGTTGAAAGTTCAGCCTCACTGATGGCAAAAGTGATGACTGGAAGAACGCTGTTGATGTATTCTCCCAAAGTGTCTTCAGCTGACTGGAATCCCCGACATGGAGCTATCACAATATCCATTTCCTGAAGATAGCAAAGCATTAAAAATTTAACATTAAGGTTTGATTTGAGCTTTGCATCCAGCACTCCCTCCCTTCCACATCCACAGCAAGAAATGTATCTCTCCTGCTTTCAAGGGGAATCTGAGAAAGTTAAACATAATAACAATCTTTAAGTGCAATGAAATCCTAATTTTGTGTAAATAAAGACAGTCACTCAATTTTTCCTTTAACTCTCCCGAATATTAAAAAAAACTCATATTAATGACACTAATCCTTCCTCATTTAGATACAGAACATGTTCTAACAGTATGACAGAAGAGATGGCTTCCAAAAATTATAGATAATCCAGTGCAACTCTTCAGTGCAAAGCAGATAAATTTATTTAGCTTTCAGTGAAGTGGCTAGCTTAAATATATAGTATACTTTATAAAACATGATGGTACATTACTCCTATGTTTTTCACAACAGAAATAATTAAGGCTATAATTATTTTGTAGGTGTTTGAGATAAATTGCCTTGTCTTTGTGACAGATTATCCATGCTCTTCATAAAGCCTTATAATTGCTGCATGCCAAGTAATTGCACTACAGCTACTGAACTGACTTAGGTTGGCTTGTAATAACTTTATATGTGTGTGCTAAATTATATTGGCTGTAAGAACTTTTGTTTTTAAAAATTTATACAGTATTCATGTAAAATTTCAGAAACACTATATCTCTATATATTTATGGCCACTGCATGTTTTGAAATCTATTCTGATATGCGTGCTTAATTCAGCACATTGCTCGATGTTGCTTTGATATATTTTAAGTTTACAAATATGAATAGCAGAATTGTAATAATTCTGGCAAACACTCCCTGAACTGATATAATTTGCTTGCTTTTCACAGAAACAATTTATTATACATTTTAATCACATTTTCAGCAATCAGAACCATGCCAAATATTATATTACATTAAATGTAATTCCACCCTCCCCCAATGCAAATGTGTTATGAAAAATGAAATAAAGAGCCAGGTTTAAGAGAATTTCAGGACTCAATAGTATCAATAGTATTCGTTAATTCAGATTCATATTACTCTTAAAACATTATATAAGCTTAGAACTGGTAATATGAAAAAGATCAAAGTGAATTTAAGAAAGGTGCTTGTCTTTGAACAAACATCAACAAATATTCACATGCTGTCTGAGACGCACATTTTTTCAAACATTTCAACTGTCCCCACCCTGAACAAACCAAAGTTGAGCATAACAGAAATGATAAACCTATAAAGCTATTACTAAACAATTAAATGTAGCAAATTTTAGCCACTTCAATACATCACTAAGGTTTTCCAAAATTCTTTTCCTGCAACCCTCAAAATAAACTGTTAATTGCCGTTTGCCTGACTGTCATGGGACTTCAGAGCATAGAATAAAAAAACTGATGTTGCTAGGCAAAAGTGAAAGTTAAGATAAAGATGCATGTGCAAATCAACACTGCGATAGAGATGACTCACATTGATCACAATAAACAAAGTCAATGAAGTGGAAAGAGTTAGACATCTCAATATGACAACTAATCTTATTTGATGAACAGAAGCTAAAGTGAATATTCTTGCAAGCTCTTAGCAATGGTTTTCTTTTAGCGTTTGCCTCTTCTCATACAGGATAACAGAACTGCTAAGCATAAGGCTAATATTCCACAGTGGAACTTATTTCTGCAACTGGATTTAATGCCTGGAAATTAAACTTACAGAGCTTAAAACATTTTCAACCAAATCAACTTTGCAAAAAAATTATAAATGATGCGTTAACAACTTCAGGAGATCCACTCATTGCTGCAGCTGAATAAAATAATTTGGTAGAAAAGAATTGTCCTAATTAAATGAACTAGATGTTAGATCTATAAATAAAGGAACTGAATAGCAAATACCACCTTAAAATAGTAGTTTTCTTTTACAAGAGGGGACATTGTTAACACAATTAATACATTTTAATCATTAGCTGAAACCCTACTCACATCTTTTTCTAATAACCAGTTTTGCTTTTTGGTATGCAGTCTTTTAAAAAATATATCCATAATATGATAAAAAGCAACCGGAATACAATTACCTACAAATAAGAATCAGCAATATTTGTAGTTAACAGGAAGAGATAAACTTATATTTTATCCATTCCATCCTGAGAGAACCTACTGGTGTTCTCCCAACTGCACCTTTCTTTTAAAATGTGCCAGAACTGACAAGTACTGTTCTCACTTTATTAAGTAATTCTGCATATGGTTAGTAACCCTATCATTATTTATTCTAAAAGGAATAAATATAGTTAGGTAGCTGTAGAAAGAGAGTACAAAAGATTGTAAAAAAAAACCTGGGAAGGACAATACAGCATTATGACAGGCAAGGCATGGGTAAGCTAGAAGTGAGCATGTCACTAAGAAATATAGGATAAGAAAAAGAAAGTAAGTATATAGATAGTCCTCTATCTACAACCATAACTAAGCCCAACATTTCTGTTGTTAAGCAAGGCAGAGTGAGTTTTGCCCCATTTTACACCTTTTTTTGCCACACTTGTTAAGCAAATTGTTGCAGTTGTTAAGTGAATCATGCAGTCGTTAAGTGAATCTGGATTTCCCAATTGACTTTGCTTGTTGGAAGCCAGCTGGGAAGGTTACAAAAGGTGATCAAATGACCCAAGGACAATGCAACTGCCATAAATATACTGCCAGCTGCCAAGTGTCTGAATTTTGATCACGTGATCATCGGGGTGCAACAAAAATCATAGGTATAAAATCCAGTCATAAATCATTTGGTCGCTAAACAAATGGCTGTAAGTCAAGGACTACCTGTACGCAACTACCTGTTGTGAATATGGAATTGAAGTTTGATTGAAAAAGTATGATAAACATGTCCGAGTTTGTAAGTTCAGGTACTATTACTGGGACTGAGAACTGTAAAAAAATGTTTTTGTTGCACCCCGATGATCACATACATAGAAAACTGCTTCAAAGCATGGATTCTTGTTGCACCAGGACATACTCTCCCCAAAATGTAGACAGAACTTTAGACAACATGCTGCAAAAATCATAATGTATATCTTCAATCAGGAAGGAAGATCAGAAAACTACATATTATAGCATTGGCTAATTAAACAATTTGAAGAAAGAGAAACAGCCGGACTGCAAAATGGTATTTCCTATAAACCTACAATAATATATCACACCTGGCTGCAGAGAAAGATTTCCATATAAAACAAACAAAACTTTAAGTAATAGTTTGAATAAAAGTAGCAACAAAGTAGAAATTGCAACACAGGCTACAGACAATGAAAAGTTTTAATAACAAATAATGTACAATAACGTTTGGCACAGATAAAGAAAAACAAATTTGCAATAAATTTGAACACTTTATTGGAAAGTAATATAGGATCAAATTATATTCTGGGACACTATGAAATGAGTTAAAATATTCAGTATTACTGCTTGGAAATTTATTATGAATTTTGTGATAAGCTCCTTAATTATAGAAGAATATTTTTTAAGAGTTGAATAATGTAAGTAGTATTATGTATTTAATTTACCAAAATTTAATTAAGAATTTAATTAAGTAAAATCCAATTTGAATTCCAACCTCATTTTTCCCAAGTTATACCATAGTAAACATCTTTTCTACTGTTCAATTTTTCTACTTTAAGGGCATTTTGCCCTAAAAATGTGAATTACAACTTCCAGAATTTATAGGCTTGTAAGAATTAAAGTCTAATGGAAGAAAAGTCTGGAACACTGTATCACTCAGTTAAACAGTCCCAATCCACTTCTCCACATCTTCTCCACCTCTCTCAAATGTCCCAATCTACTTCTCCACCTCTGTCAAATGTCACTATATGATTATATAAATGTTCAACTCTTAATAGAGGTTAAGAACAGTGTAATTCAGAACTTTCTTGCACCTAATCTCAATTTGCATACAAAGAACTAATATCACAAGAATCTATTTTTAAAAAAGAAAAGGTTAGCAACATATTTTTCAAAATGTTTGAATGAAAAGTAATGATTTAGTCAGAAATACATAGGGCATAAAAACCACATAGTAAGTAAGAACTGTCTTCAACTCTTTGAATTCTATTAACAATATCTCTAGCAGTTGAAAACAAACAATTTTATTCAAGCCAAACATTTAAAAATCTGATTAAATAACTCTATATTTTACAATACTACATCTTCTGTTGCTTAACATTTTTCTGATAGCATTCTGTACAAAAATGACAAACTTGGCACTAGCTATTTCCACCTACTTGTTTTAATTGGTATTTCAATTAATTTCTTTTATTTAAAATTCCATAAATGGGAAATCTAACAATGGTCCTTTGGGGGAAGGGGGTTGAATTAAAAAAAACAAAAACCTCTCAATTTACTATTCCTAATGATACAAATGCTGAATTTGTCCTAAGTATCTAACTGAATCTAACTAATGTACATTTTTCATTGATTCAAGAAGTTTACAGAACAGTTGTCTTTCATAAATTAAGTTACATAAATAAAACTAGACCGACATATTGAACTACATTAAAAGCAAGGATTCTTTGCCCTCACATGCCAATTCATTCCATATTATCAACATTCCAATATGAAGATATACTAAAAAAAAATAAACCTGCAGGCAAACTTTCTAAAGCTAGTTGTAATCAATCCAACATGATTCTCATGAAAAAGATAGGCAGCTCAAATCAGAAGAAACTTTACTTAATATTATCTATAATGCACTAATATTCAATTAAGGGATACAGTATTTAAATACAATAAAGGATATGGAAAACAACATTTAAATTTTATAAATGTAAATTCATAATCTTAATTGGGGATAAGCCAAGGGTAGGCCAAGTATGCCAATCAGGGGAAAATTTAAACATTTCCTTTCCAATCAAAGATTCTTTACTTCAAACTGCATCCTCCATACTTTGCATTAAATTCAGAGACACATGTTGAAATTAAACTTAGGGGTGAACTAAGTCAATAGAGATCAACCTCTTATATTTTTAAAGTTGTTATTTGTTCTATCTGTAGAATTTCTTAACCATGTTCAAAATAAAAAGTAAAATTAATTAAAAGTTTCATGACAAAACTACTTTCCTATATAAACCTGTTTAAACATGAAATGGTGTGTACAAAGATATTTGTTTTCATTAGTACCTGTAATAAGGAATGATTCAGTGTAACCTCCAACTCTGCAATCTGATGTGCCAGATCCTCATCATCATCATGGATTTCTAAGTCCTCCTCAGGTATTGTTTCCCAACTACTTTGATGAGCTGCCAAATTATGAACCAATTCATACTGTCCTGGTAGAGCTAAACTGATCCGTGTCTGTCTTCCGTGTGTAAAACGAATTCGACGCCTCTTACAATGCTCCTCGCTAATTTTTGTGGTAGGTAGCAGTCTCTTTCCCAAAAGCATGTTGAGTAATTGGCATTTGGCATTACAGTTTTGACCAAAGATTAATAAGCATGGGTGACAGCTTACTGTCAGCTGGAGGTATTCTTCCTCATGTCGGGGAAAAGCAATTGAACTTAGCTGTCCTAAAAAAAAAAAGCATATACATTTTATTAGGAATTTTATCCTGCAAGGTTCTTGGCAAAGATTTCTCCAAGATTAATCTTCCCATCCAAGCACCTCCTATATGTGTTCAGACTGCAAATCCCAGTATTATCCAGCAAGCGCAGTCCCTGTACCTTATATTCCCAATACATCTGGACGATGCCCATATTGATGCACATAACTATCCTGGGCACATCAATTCTAAAGTAAGAATAAGACATTCTTATGACATTTCAAAGTTTTTTCTTGATTACAGTGTAAGCATTCATGGATCACTGTCCACTTTGTCAAATGTATTATAGCCCTAAGAGGACTGGATATGGCTTAGGAGCTCCCACATATCCAGTCTGTTCTTCCTTCCCAATGCCAGCAAGTACACATTTTAGACAGTAAGGAGGATAAAAAGCAGCAATCCAGAATCTTGTGCTTTTAATTGAATAAGCATCTTGTCCACAGGCCCCTTCAAGTTTTAATACTATACTAAAACTTGAATTTATCTTAACATTTTCAGTTGATGAGAGGCAGCAGCAGCAAGGCTCCATCCATAATGATACTGTCCCCCAACTCCCCTTCTATTCCCAGAAGTTGTTATTTCCAAGGTTGCTGGTCCATCCACTCCACTGTGCGCAGGCTGCCTGCCTCCATGTCCTATTAAATTATAGCCTGAGACGACTTCGCAAAACAATAAACCTTCAAGCCATTCTATCTAAAGACAGTTAATCTGAAAAAGGAGTTATGTGTTGAATAATTTCTTTCCCCAAAAATGTTTATGTTCTACCACATTATCATAATACATAGGCTACTAATAAATTCAGAAATATAAATCATAAGTACATGATACATAATTTTACACAGGATATAAAATGTAAACAAGATAAAACAAGTTATTTTGCTTGACCATATTGTCAGCTTTTAAATGAGGGGTCCCACTCTTTGAACACTCCTATATTCAAACCATAATTGTGCAACTTATTTCTTCCTTCATAAGATTTCCCAGTTCCCCAAATAAAATTATCCTTAACCCCCAAATCTAAGCAACGGCAGACCTTTTTAACAGTTGGACAGGAATTAATTAGGAAATCCCAAGATTACTGATTAGACTGGGAAACTGAAAAAACATCCATGAGGAAGCCCATAGCAAACTACGTCTTTATGGCTGCCAAAAGAATTACAGCTCCCTGTAGTTAACAGGAGCAAATTGAAGCGAAGAGAGTCTTTAACATTAAAAGTATTAGACAAAAATAGACTCAGCTTAAAAGGTTTGTCATATGTCTTCAACACAGAAATATTAAGTGCAATTCTATATATTAAATGTAAGCTATACATTTGTCCCATTGATTGTAGTGGGACTGGTATGAAACTTTGGTTGAAGCAAGATGCACATAAATCAATAGGAGTCAATGTATCCGTATAGTACATGGTTGCAGTCTTAATGTTGCTCTAAACCAGGGGTGTCAAACTCAAGGCCCAGGGGCCAGATCTGGCCCGTGAAGCACTTAGATCTGGCCTGTGGGTCCTCCCTGGAAGCGAAGCACCGGCCTGCGGTGCTACTGCCAGCAAAAATGATGGCCTCCTGCAACACTCTGCCAGCGAAAACAGAGCTCGGTTTTCACTGGCAGAGTGTTCAGGCCACCACAGGTGCCTCTGACATGAGTGACGTCGAGCTAACTATGACCACCCTGGCCACGACCAGCTCCCTCCCCCAACAAGGTCAAACATAACCTTGATGCGGCCCTCAAAGAAATCGAGTTTGACACCCCTGCTCTAAACTCTTACAGGCCATATGAATAATAAGTATTATTCAAAGTTGTAGTAGTAATTTATTATTTATACACTAGACCAATGCTTAGTTCCACTAACAATGAGAAAAATAAGCACATTAATGTTCACATTTGTCATTGAAGCATAGTACTTTCAGTTATGTAAAAATGTAATTTTATAGAAAACAGAACTCTATTCTATTTATCAAATATAAATGCTAAAATGCAGTAGTATTTTGTACACAGATTAATACAATAGAAAGCACATAAAAGCATAAAGTGTTCTGCTGAAATTAAAATGGGACTGCTATAACATCCACACTAAAAGGAGAAAGCTCGTCTGCAAAACCTGAAAACCAACATTCAAATTGAAGATGGAAGGTATGTTGAAATGTAACTTTAAGCCCACTGTATGCTGAATAGGTTTATGAGTATTCTTTTCCCTAGGCAGTTCATCTCTAAAACCACTTTGTTGACTTAATTTTTTTTCACCAATCTAAGATTGTGAGCCAAGTGACCAGGTGTTGCCAACTTCTATTGTTTTGGTAATAAAGTAGCATTTCAAATATTTTCTGTAGCCAAAAATGTAACCGCAGAAAGATTTTCTTATTTTTAACTATTGTGGGACATGATACCAAGTATTATTGTCCCTAGGCCCAGAAGAAATTTGGAAATCATGATTATACAATTGGAAGTGAATTAATCAGTGAAGGTCAAATAAGTAGGTTCCTTTAAACAAAAAACATAGTTTTTTTGTTTTACAAGTCACGTGTCATTTTTTTTAAAAATAATGCTAAAAGTTTTTGAAAAAGAACTATGCAATGATTTGCTTTTATTTATTAAAATCCATTGTAATCAGATTATTTTTAAGATTAACATGACTTTTCCTTTCCTAATACAAATACAGGTTGTCCTTCAGTTATGACAGCAATTGTTGTTGTTAAGTGATAATCCCAGCAGTCCTAGTACCCTTGTAACTCCAAGATATGTGAGTCTTTAAGCAGGACGTGGTGGGAGTCTCAGGAAAAGAACATGGGGGTGTACCATGGAGAGTTGGGGGAGACCTTAGGGGAGGGGGTTGGCGCAGGCTGTGTGGTTGAGGGAGGCTGAGGGAAAGTTTAGGAAGCCTAGTGAAGGCCGTGGGTGACTGCAAGAAAAGCAAGGCAAGGATGGTACCATAGGATATGAGCACAAGATGGCTGTAGGCAGGATGACCCAGTGGGGGCATGAGCTCAGGAATGCGGGAGGGGGACTGACCTCTCAGAGAGACTTACAACCTTCCCTGCTCGCTTCCCCATTGGTTTTCCTTGTGAGAAGCCAGCAGGGAAGACCACAAATAGTGGTCATGTAACCGCAGGACACCACAACCATAAGTGCCAAAAACCTTAATCATGATCATGTGAGTGCAGAGGCACTGTGACAGCTAAAACATCGAGGACCAGCTGTAAGTACCATAGGAGCCAGCTTTGTCTATGGTTAAGGCACCAGGCTAATAAGCTAGAGACTGTGAGTTCAAGTCCTGTCTTAGCCATGAAAGCCAGTTTGGTGACTTGGGCCTGTCACTCTCTCTCAGCCCAATTCATCTCACAGGGTTGCTGTTGTAGGGAAAATAGGAAGAGGAAGGTGTGTTGGATATGTTCACCACCTGGAGTTATTTGTAAAATAAAGGTGAGAGATTAGATAGATAGATAGATAGATAGATAGATAGATAGATAAAGGGTCTTCAAACTTGGCAAATTTAAGACTTGTGGACTTCAACTCCCAGAATTCCTGAGCTAACATGACTGGAGGAGGAATTCTGGGAGTTGAAGTCCACAAGTCTTAAAGCTGTCAAGTTTGAAGACCCCAGAGATAGCTAGACAGACAGACAGACAGAGACAGACAAGACAGGCAGACAGACATAGTAAAGGTTTCCCCTGTCCAGTCATACTAAGACTCTAGGAGACGGTGCTCATCTTTGTTTTTTTGCACAAGGAGCCAGCATTGTCTGAGGACATTTCCATGGTCATATGGCAAGCATGACTATATGCTGAGGCATATGGAACGTTGTTACCATCCACCCAAAGTGGTACCTATTTATCTACTTACATTTGCATGCTTTCGTACTGCTAGGAGTTTGTGTGTATATACATACAAAAATACATATTACAGGGCCACTGTAAGTGCATATTATATATTATTCAGCACCACACCAACTTCAAATTATTGCTGAACAAGTGGTCAGTAAGCAAGGACTACCTGCATACTGGATAAATATTTGACTACCCAATTCTAATCACAATTCTTACTGTTGAAGCAACTTGCTATGCCAGTATCATATAACTCGGGAGACAAAAGGGTTCACAGGTTTTGATTGAAATTGTCTAAGTGTGTAGAGACAGCAAAGCAGCAAGAAGCAATCCAGTGATTAAATTTGCCTGTATAGTACTGGGCAACCATCTTTGCTTTGAATAGATTTATAAAGGGAGAGAGAGAGAGCACTGTCTTTAGGTCTCTAAATAGGTCTCTAGGCAGGTGGTTCATTGCAATTAATTAATACCCTTCATGAATATTTTAACTTCCTATCACATATCCGTTGCCTCATGAAGAAGGCTATTAAGGCTATTATTTGCAGAAAATACTTTACAGTGCAATCAATATGTTTGCAGATATAATTGCTTTTCTTTTTCACTTACATTCTAGCAGGTTAAAGAGGTACAAAATAACTGAATTGAAGAGCTGCAACCAGGAAAAGAATCACTGCTGTATAAAACAAGAATTAGTAATAATTAGACTAAGCCAATTCAATGGTAAATCATTTTATAGCAATTATTATCAGAACTTCCATCTAGAAAAGTTACTAATTATGTTTCTCCTTAAGAACAAGCTTACACTTTTTATAAATGCTTTTATAAAGCATTCCTAAAATGCTATTTTATCAATATGTTTTGATAATTACACATATCTAATAATTGTTTGAATGGGTCCCTTATTTAAAATACAGTTATACTCTAGTTCATAGACAGACAACATGGTGTTTTCAGGATTTTTTTGAATTACAATACCGATAAACCCTATCCAATTGAGCCAATAGTCAGTAAGTATGAATGCTGCTATAGAAAATATTTTGAGGGCTCTAGACTGGCTATCCTTGCTTTAAGGATAAAGAACACAGGCAGACATTTAAGCTATATTTCTTTGCAAAGCTCAACATGATTAAACACACAGAATCTGAAATTTAC